AAAGAATTGAACCTTTCATCTCTCGAGTCTTCCTGTTTGAGTCATTCTGTCACGTGATGAACGAATGACTCAAGAACTAGAAGATCGGCTCAGACTGTGTATTTTGGTTAAGATTATATGTGACTGCCAGTGTAATGTGAACGAACCACTGACATTTGAAGACATAATGAGGTGAGCTAAACAAAGACACAACAATAGCAATTATTAATTATTCATAGTTCAAGTTCATAGACAAAAGAGCAGGGGCCTCATGTATCAACGCCGCGTACGCACAAAAACTTTGCGTACGCCAGGTTTCACGCTCAGAATCGCTCACGTTTGGATTTACTAACAATGAACTGAACGTGGGAATGTGCGCAGGTTCACGGCAGCTTTCTGGCAGGCGTACGCACATTTTTTGTGCGTGTCTGTTTTATTTCCATTGGCGACTCCTAGAGGCAGTTGTGTTAAATTCTTCTCTACAAAGTGTCTGATCCTTGCAATGGCAGCTGTATGAGACGGGTTCATATAGTAGGTATGTAAGATTTCCATACCATACAGTTGACCAGCTAAACATTAAAGCACAATTTGCAGCGGTCGCCTGTTTTCCCAATGTAATCTGAGCTATCTACTGCACGCACATTGCTATAAAGACACTATCTGAAGATAAATTTGCATGCGTGAATCAGAAACATTTCCATTCAATAAATGTGCAAATAAAATATGATGCACAAACTTTTTAATGATTCCTACTTGTCTTTCTCGTGATAAATAGTGGGCAAAATCTGATATGTAGCGGGAAAAAAAAGAATAAAGAATTCATCAGACGCTGGATTCGAACCGAGATTGTGCTCGAACGTGTCAGTACATGATCATATGCTTCTTATGAGGTGCGCCACTGACACTGCTAAGGGTACTGCAACATTTTACAGATATAAACCACACTATTTCTTTTTTAAATGCACTCAGTGCGATGTTCAGACCCAACTGTGTTAACCGTATCAGCTAAACTCTCCCACTCTATTTTTTTCTTTTGTTGTTAATTCCGGAGAGCAAACTTGCAAATAACACCGCTTTTCTCCGTTCTACCTCCGAAAGCAGCACCTCCAATTCACATTCTGTTCAAAGTTTCTCTTTTTGTTTGATTTTGCCGTTGCTTTTTCGTTGGGTTTTTCCATTAGCATAGTCATTAGCATATTCATACGGGGGAGGAGGCAGGGAGGGGTTTTGCGCTCGTGCATGTTGCGCTCAGTTTCACGTTCATTCGGATGTACAAAAGAATATGCGTGAGATTCGGCGTACGCAGTGTTTCATACATCTGAATTTTTTTCTGCGTACGCACATTTACAGCTTTGTGCGTACGCAATGTTTTAGTAAGATTTCCACGCAAGTCTTCGTACATGAGGCCCCAGGTAAACATAGTTATTTTCTCCTTTTTATAGTATTCTATTTATGACTTATCTGTCGTGTGATCAACTTGGGCTTGTTTTAGATGTGTTTGGAAGCAATTCGTAACATTTTAATAATATTTTGTCAAATTGAACCAAATGAACGAAATGACTCGAAAAAAGATTTGTTTATCTTGATGAACGAGACTCAAATCCGAGTCGGTAAAGTAGACATCACTGTCAGGCTGTGTTAGGAGTAATGGTTACAAAAGTTATGTATTAAAGTAACATATTACCTTTTTCTATAACGTAGTAGTGTAAGGCAGTACTAATACATTTTCAGTAATATTTTACTCGGTACATATTCAGTAAAGCGTGCGTTGCAAAAAACCTTTCGCCTGCAAGACATTAGCAAATAAAAAATAAAAAACGCATGTAAATACTTTTTCCTGTTTGTGGTTAGTAAATAAGCATGTGTTGTCATTAATCTCCCTCTGGCTTTTGGAACTTTTTACTTTGAACACAGAATGATTTCAGCCTTTGAGCTCAAGGTCCGAGGCTATTAGCTCAGAATAACAAAATAACAGGCGAGTGGTCAGAAGGCAGGCAGCAGCGAGGGATAAACAATAAAACAAATAAAACAAAGCAGGGGTCAAAACCGGCAAGACAAGGAAAGGAAAACGCATTGTATTGTCACATAAACAGATAAAAAGACTCAGCAACTTCTGTGTGTTTGTGTGCTAACTTTATAGTCCATGTAATCAGTTCATGAGTGGCTGTAGCTGTGTCTGTCTGCAATCATGATGATCTAGCCCAGGTGTGTGAGTGGTGCGTGACTGGATCTTGTAGTCTATTTAATGGCGGATTTGTAATTTTATGCAATGTGAATGTTCTCCAGCGATCTATGATTGTTAGATAACTGGTGATCAAGACAAAGTAGCAACCCCCCATCCGTAGTGCGGAGGCGAAATAGTGGGAGGGATGCCTGAGAGTGCCAGGACCATGCAGTGGAGGTGTACCTGGAGCGTAGAACTGCACAGGGCATAAAGTGTGGCGCTTCGGAGGGCCTGAAGCATGGAGCTGCGGAGGGCCTGGAGTCCTTGGTTCAAGAGGCACTGGTAGTACATTCAACCCCAGTGGATCAGGAGGCTTTGATTCAAGAGGCACTGGCAGTTAATCAAACCCCAGTGGATCAGGAGGCTTTGGTTCAGGAGGCACTGGCAGTTCATTTAACCCCAGCAGGTCAGGAGGCTTTGGTTCAGTGGGCACTGGCAGTTCACTTAAACCCAGTGGGTCAGGAGGCTTGGTTTCAAGAGGCACTGGCAGTTAATCAAACCCCAGTGGGTCAGGAGGCTTTGGTTCAGGAGGCATTGGCAGTTCATTTAACCCCAGCAGGTCAGGAGGCTTTGGTTCAGGGGGCTCTGGCAGTTCACTTAACATCAGTGGGTTAGGAGGCTTGGGTTCAGGAGGCACTGGCAGTTAGTCAAACCCCAGTGGGTCAGAAGGCCTTGGTTGAGAAGGCACTGGCAGTTCATCCAACCCAATTGGGTCAGAAGGCTTTGATTCAGGAGCTATTTGTGGGGCTCTGGCCTTTTGTGGGACTCAGGTGGTGGCTCTTGCAATAACAACTCTGGTGGTGGCAGCAGCTCTAGCAACTCAGGTGGTGGTGGCCATTCTGATGACTCAGGTGATGGCATTTCAGGAACTATGGCAGGAACAGATTCGTATCATGAAGCTATCTTGTGAGCTGGTGACAGATTGGTGATTACCATTGTGTGAGCTGGAGGGCTGGTTGCGGCGACTTTGTGAGCTGGCCGACTGGAGGTGGCCATCTTGTGAGCAGGAGGACTATAAGCGGCCATTTTGTGAACTGGAGGACTAGAGACCGCCATTTTGTGAACTGGAGACGACCATCTTATAATCTGGCTGTAGTCTAGGCTGTTGAACAGGGGACAGGAGTACAGGAGAGGCTAGCATAATAGTATTACTGGGTTGGGCAGCAAGCCCTGTCGCCAGCAGGTCTTGCTGTTTATGGCTGTTTATTGCTGTTTAATGCTGATAATTTCTTACAGTAGTTTTGGAAAAATATATATAAAAACATAAAGTAAAAAATATATATTAATAAAACTTATGCAATCTGCACTCCGAAATAAAAGTGAAAGACTACCACCTGGTGGTTCAAAGAGAAATATTATATATATGAACTTTTAGATGCAAATGAGATACATGCACAATATTCGACTATTAAAAAAAGGATAATAATAAATGCAGTCATGCATGTGTTTTGATCACTAAAATGCTGGTGATTGACACCTTTACAGATATCAAAAATGTTTTTTTGATGCAAAGTTATTTATACAGTACCTTACACCGATTAAAAAAAAAAAAAACTTGGGTAGGCCTATACTATAATAAAGAAAATCTTCTCTAAATGTAGAACTAAATACATTGATATGCTTTGAAATACATGATGAATACTTATGACACATGAAAGTGTAAAGCCTGCAGCCCACAACAAATGTGGAAAGTTATTGCGTGTCATATTTAACAAACCGTTTACTGCTAATTTGATGTAATTCTGCTCACATGGATGATTGAATATTATTCAGATGATGTCATTGCGCTGCTGTGCCATCAGCCAATCATTGCATTGCTGATCATGATTTCGAGGATCGATAGATCTGCCCTTCACAACAAATGCAGAAATCTCAGATCAGTTCATCTAGACATGTTAATCTGATTCGCGAACTTGTTTGCAGAACCAATTAGCCAGAGATCACTTAACAAGATTAAAAGATCCAGGATCTGCCAAATCATCTTAGATTATTTAAGCGAGGTACAAAGAACGGACCCCTGGTGTGTGAGTGGTGCATGACTGGATCGTGTAGTCTGTTTATTGGCAGATTTGCAGTTCTATGCAATGTGAATCTTCTCCAGTGATCTATGATGGGTAGAGTGCTAGTGATTATGACAGATTTAATTGTCAATGTCGAATCATATTTTAATTCAATGCTGAATATTCAACCTCAACCAAAATGTTGATTCTGATAGAACTTCAGCAGTGAATCAATGCCTCTCTGCTATCTGTGTTGGCATCACCTGCAGCTCATTGCCAAAAGTGGAACGGTAGAGCATGAGAGTCTCTAAAAATTTCCAGTAACACCAAAAAAACATTCTGTAGTCACATTTTTGAACATTTGGCACTAGGGGTCTACATTTGGCAACACTGGCTGGCAGTGTCTTTGATTAAAGCATTCACATCTCGCGCATGTGCAGTAAGGAAGGATTGTTCCATTATTCATGGGAGGCCCCCTGTTTTGAAAAGAAGCAATAACATTAAAATCTTAACTGTTATCGACACATTTTACATGTGATAGAAATTGTATATGATTAATATAGGCTTCTTGGCATTAGTTGGGGCCCTAAGCAGTTGCTTATCTCATTTATTGATTGAGTCCATCCCTGCTAATCACTAAATAATTAATTAATCTGGTTCAATTCTTTCTCATTAATGTTATATTTAACAAATAAATGGCTTTAAAACATAAGAACATAGTACATTTATTTAAGACATCACAGCTAATAATTCTGTGTAAATAGCTAATTGAATGTGTTCATGTTTTGTTTATTTAGATGAGGATGCAGAGTACATGATTATGAACTGTCCCTCTGGAGGGCCCAGTGATATCATGGAATCCATTACGGCTAAGGCTCCTTTGACAGAGGAAGCTTTCTCACACATCTCTACCGAACAACTGAAGCCAGGGGTGAGTCCAGCCCTCCATCTATTTTGATTTCATTATTTGATAAAATATCCCTGAAAGATTTACTGACTAAAATATTTTGTTCATCAATGAACAGTCAGGGCAATCCCATGCAAGACCAAAACTCACAATGACTGTTAACAGATAATTGGCAATTGGGGCTACTAGACAAGAGGGTGGCTGAAGTCTGAGACAGCAGTAAGGGAACAGAGAAAACAAAGACTGAAAAGTTGTGGGAGAATGTCGGAAGCTGTGACAGGTCACAGCTGACCTGAAATCAGGAAGGGGTGAAAGATTATGTCGGGCGGAAAAAAAGGAAAACAGAGAGAAGAAAGATTGACTTTGCAACAAATAAAGAAAGACAGAAATAAAAAAAGCAAGCATGAAAGAAATATTATGAGCTAAATCTTGCTATAGAGCATTTTTGTCCCAATGTATTTCCTGTTTTACATGTTTAATTTTTATAGCTTCCGACAATCCAAAAAGATATAGGTGATATATAATAAGGTGAATTTATATAGGCTATAGGTGAATTTAATAGGCTAAATTGCCCATAGTGTATGAATGTGTGAATGTGGCAACCCCTGAGTAATAAAGGGACTAAGCCGAAAAGAAAATGAATGAATGAACGGATAAATGAATGTTCAATACTGTTAGTTAAGCTAAGGACTGTGTTAGCTTACGGTTACACATTAAATAGTTTAAATATATAATTGTCCTCCCCTACTTTGTTTAATTAAATAGTTAAAAAAGTTCATGATACAGTACTTGTTCATAACCCCATTACACATTATGCACTTTAAATTATTCATTTAGCTATTGAAATGATGTTGCAAAACAAAGATTTTCAAAAGTACATTTTATATGAGCATTTTTATGGTGCGAAACAAATATGAAAGATTCCAAACAGAAAATATCGAGAGAAAAAGATACTCCGTAATTTTGAGTGGGTCTCTAGTTGATGCTAATTGATTATAGTTAATATTGCTGTTGTTTGTTGCATTTTATTTTTTTATTATATACAATTACATATTTTAACTGTTATATATAATTGTTACTTTTAAAAACCACAAAACCGAACAACTGAAGCCAGGGGTGAGTCCCTAACCCCAACCGTCATTGGGGGATAAGCAAATCGTACTAAATTGTACGAATTAGATCGTACGAATTCATACGAATTAGCCACTAAATGAAAAAGTTACAAATTGCCGTGAGATTGTGTTGTAATATCTGTGAATAGTTTGACTATATTCATATTAGACACAACAGGCCTATATGTAAACTCCAATGCCATGACAAGATACAGATTTCTTTTCTTATTGTTGTCATTATTTTATTCACTTTAAATTCAAGTGGCTCACAACATAAAATTGTCATGCACAAAGTGAGCATTATAAACATAGCTTTCTCAGTATGATGGTTGTGCACTAATTTCTTCTGTTTGTGGACAAAACTGGCACAAACAGAAGAAATGATAAGAATATTTGAGCTCTCTAATATACGCTGCTTGTGTGCAAATTTTCTCACGCTCTCTCAAATATGCAGATTATATGCAGACTCACAATTTGTGTCTTATGTTCTGCCTTCCTTTCGTGCTTTTTGATATGATTTATATTAGTGCACTATTTATCAACAATAACCACAATACTAAAATAGACTTACATATAAAAAATATTTATCTAATAAACTATAACATTTTTGGCTGTATGTTATATGATGAGATTCCAGTTTCAGATTGATGTTTCCAGTTTCAAACACTTAAAGACACAGACAATAGACGTTGTAAAAAATACATTTTATTTTTAAAACGTTTATTAAACATTTAAAAGGTGAACCATACCAATCAAATAAAAAAACATTTAAACAAAAATATAACTAACGCAAGCAGAAATGTAACTAATAGAAAATAGGGAAACACTTGATAAGTTATTATAGCCTACTGTACTATTCACTCTTCAAATAAACTTCACTATTAATCCCTCTTTATTATGGCAATTAAAATAAAGTGAACTAGTTATTGTTGACTTCCACATTGTTGATGAGATTTTGGAGGACATTTTCCCTTTCACTAGAAAGGTAATCATTCATTCGGCTTAGTCCCTTTATTAATCCGGGGTCGCCACAGCAAGTTTTTACACAGCGGATGCCCTTCCAGCCGCAACCCATCTCTGGGAAACATCCACACACACTCTCATACACTATGGACAGTTTAGCCTACCCAATTCACCTGTACCACATGTCTTTGGACTGTGGGGGAAACCGGAGCGCCCGGAGGAAACCTAAGCGAAGGCAGGGAGAACATGCAAACTCCACACAGAAACGCCAACTGAGCTGAGGTTCAAACCAGCGACCCAGCGGCCTTCTTGCTGTGAGGCGAACGTGCTACCCACTGCGCCACTGCGTCACCTAGGAAGGTAATCATCTGAAGAGAAATACTATGGGCCAATGAATTGGCAGTGGCAGTGCACGCAGCTGGTAGCAGTCACAATCAATTGTGAATAAGAATGTCAGCGTCACTCAGCACATTTTTTGCTTACAGAAACCTCACATGCAGACTGAAAGAGAAATTTTGCCGTCGTCCTCCGATTACATTAGAGAAAGGGAAAGAAAGTTGCCGTCTTCTGAGAGGCTGATTTTTCCCAGTTCCAGTGCGAGCAACAGCATGAGAAGCAACAGTCAAGCTGGGCTTCTCTCGTCCCTGGGCGTTTCGCTGGACCAATACTTCAAGAGCGGTGCACATAAAGCAATTATCCTAAAAGAGCAACATGGTCGTGCAGCGTGTCTTTTCAAAGACATTGTTCAGATTGTGCATTACTGGATGCGATAGTTTTCTGTCCCTGGATGATGGACACGAGCACTGTGTTGCATGTCTGAGGGTTCAGCATGTTAATGCGGTGCTCGAGGGCAGTGCATGCCATCACTGCGATGGCACATTTGTTGTGCAGCTAAGCTTGCGGCTCACTCTTGCAAAAGGGCGATGCACCCTGTTGCCCCTGCAAGTACTTTTTTTGGGGCATTTTCTTTTTGGTATTGATCTTTAGGAAATCCCTGTAGGCAATGATATCATGATAAAATGTGGCAATAAGCTTGTAACTGTACTGTACTTTACACAGTGGCCATATTCATCTATGTAACCACACCAAAACAACATTACATTATACCAGACACTGCAAAAAGGTCATTCACAGCCACTAGACTTTTCTGACAGGGGATTTGAGTGTCATCGAGTGACAGATAGAAAAGTATGTTGTGGGAGGAAAAGGAGATGTGTGTCGCCTCCACCATGATCGCTCAGTGTTTGGCTTCTTTAGAGGCTAATATATGTGTATTATCCTCCTTCAGGGAACGTGGGTTACCAACGTAACCGCGACGTTCAATATGTTCACTATGTTATATAACTGCCCCCTGCTTGTCTTTTTTTTGTATTAGAGCATTGTGCTTGCTGTTAAGGAACACTCCAGTGTCACGCGAGGTATCATTCATTCACTTGCGATAGCCATATCTGTATGGACTTTTATCATTTATAGAGGAACTATATGTAATGCCACATCTATTTATTCCTAATTGTCATTTTGTTGACAATTAGTGGCTGTTATGTTTGTGCTATTTGTGTTATTTATATATTTATATGTTATTTGTTTATTTGTTGTTTGAAAATTATGAATAATTAAGATTAATAATATTATGCTGTTATTATTATATGTCACATACAGAGGGGGTTGGTAATATGGATTAGCTCCACCTACTTACCTAATAGCACACGAGTGATGGGTGATCAGCTAGCAGGAGAAGCAGGCTTTTTTGACCATGATTTCTTTGTGATTATTTGGAGGACAAAATAAACAAATTTTCAGTTATAAATGCTTGGGCACATTATTAAACATCACTGCTCTTGTCAATATGGCTCCATACTTACACAATGATGTCGGAGGCCATAATAACATTTTAACACAAGTTTGCTTTCAGTTGCATAAAACTAATTTGCACTTGGTGAATATCACCTTAAATGTTACCTGAGCAACCTCAAGGTAGGAATGCGCAGTAGCAACTTCGATCGCCACCCAGAGCGACAGGCAGACACAAAGTTGCTGCTAGAGTGAATGAGGCATAAAAGTGAAGAATGACTTGTCAAGAATTATGTAGAAGTGCAAAGAACAGCAAAGAGATATGGCTGTCTTGCTTTTTGTTGCATTTATGTGGTTTGAAGCTGGTACAAAACTACAGAGTGACATGGGGAAAATTTGCATGATGCATTCATATAATGAAAGAATATTAAGAATAATAAATTCAAATGATAAGTGAATAGGAAAGAAATGACATAAATAACAGTGTTCCATCCAAAATCATCAAAAACATGTACAGTATTGTTATAGTGAACTTTAAAAATACCCAGAATACAATTTACTAATTTCTTAGAAAGTTTGAAATAAATAAAAATTTGATAAATAAATAGTTGATAAATAAAATAAATGTCTTTATTTTATTATGTTTTGGCCTGATGTTGTGATCATGTCCCTAAAATTAGAGTCAGCAGCAGCCCAATGTAGTAAACCAGATAATATTTTACAGAATAGTATCATGCTAATGAATTATACTAATTCACAAGCTTAAGACATAGAAGTTCTGAAGACAGATCACAAGCTGAAAACATAATGGAAGCCCTCTTGCTGTGGCAATCAAGAGGTAATTTCAACACAATCTCACGGCAATTCGTAACTTTTTCATTTAGTGGCTAATTCGTATGAATTCGTACGATCTAATTCGTACAATTTAGTACGATTTGCTTATCCCCCAATGACGGTTGGGGTTAGAGGTGGGGTCAGGTGCCACGCCTCCTTTTTAAAATCGTACCATTTCGTACGACTGAACTCGTACGAATTCGTACGAATTAGCCACTAAACTGGCAAAACGTAAAATACTTACGTTTTCTCGTGAGATCAGGCTGGTAATTTGGCTAGAGGGCCATGACAAATGACACCCCTTCGGCAGTAAGTCAAAGATCC